CGGGTCTCGAACCCGCGGGCTCAGGCAATCCACTCGCCTCAGCCTCCCAAAGCGCGGGATTACAGGCTGAGCCACTGAGCCCAGCTTACATCCCTTTTCACCTTGGGAAATGCTCACTGTCTGGAGTTGGCTGGGTCTGAGCTGATGGAGCTGCTCAGCTTTGGGACGAGCGTCAGCTTGGTCTACTCTTTCTCTTTTTGTCTGTTATTTTGCAAGTGGGGTTGTTTTTTTTCCCGCAGATGTCACCTGGATGTTTTATATGCTTTTATTTTTGACTGCTCTGTTTCTTTATCTTTAAGGTGAGCTTTTTGTATGCGTATGTAGTTGGGTTTTTTAAAAAATCCAGTCTGATAGTTTCTTTTACTGGAATTTTAGTCTGCTTTTATTTACTGTGATTATTGATGTGGTTGGGTTTGTTTAGATCTTGTTTTGTGTTTGTGCTACTTATATTTTGTTCCTTTCTTTTCTTTTTTTAAAAAAAGAGCATTTTTGAGTCTCGTTTTGTCTCCTTTATTTGACTCTAGGGCCGTGAATCTTTGTGTCATTTTTTTAGTGATTGCCAGGGACTACAGTCGTCATCTATCTGAAATTACGTGATACGGTTCATGCAGGAGAGCCTTACAGCATTGCACTTCCATTTGCCCTCTTCCTGTCCTTTGTGCTATTGTTACTTTCACATATGACATAAACACCCAGCGTGTGTGTTTTTTAAAAAATATATTTTGATTTGTAATTATTTTTAGAGACAGGGTGTCACTCTGCCACCCTGGCTTGAGTACAGTGGTGCAGTCATAGTTCATGTATCCTTAAACTCCTGGTCTCAGGCGATCCTTCAGCCTCAGCCTCCTGAGTCGCTAGGACTATATGTGTATGCCACCACGCCCAACTAATTTTGATTTTAATTTTTTTATAGAGACAGTCTCACTATGCTGCCCAGGCTGGTCTCAAACTCCTGGGCTCAGGCATTCCTCCTGCCTCAGCCTCCCAGCGTGCTGGGGTTACAGGCATGAGCCTGTTTTGTTTTTTATTTTTGAGGTGGAGTCTCTGTCACCCAGGCTGGAGTGCCGTGGCACACTCATGGCCACCCCAGCGTCGACCTGGTTTCCATCGATCCTTCCACCTCAGCCTTCCATCTGGCCTATTTTATTTTAACTAGTTAATTTTGTTTTAAATTAAGAAACGAAAAGCCTGTTTGTACCATTTACAGTATTCTTCACTCTTTCAGTATCTATCTGTTCTGGCGTCATTTCCCTTCAGCCTAGTCTCACTCTGCCACCCGGACTGGAGTGCAGTGGCACGTTCCCGGGGCACCACAGCCTCGACCTCTGGCAATCCTACCACAGCCTTCCAAGTAGCCGGAACTTCAGGCGCGTGCTACCATACCCAGCTAATTTTTTATTTATTGTAGAGACGGTCTCACCAAGTTGCTTGGGTGGGTCTCAAACCCGTGGGCTCAGGCAGTCCACTAGCCTCGGCCTCCCAAAGTGCTAGAACGACAGGCTGAGCCACCGAGCCCGGCCTTAATATGTCTTAGAATGCATACCTGCCAGTCACAAATCCCTCTGTTTGTTTATCTGAAAATGTCTCCATGTGCCTTTATTTCTTGAAGGATATTTTCTCTGGATATAGAATTTAGGGTTATCGGCTTTTTACATTCAGTGGTTTAAAGGTGTTTTCTGAGCTGGGCTCGGTGGCTCAGCCTGTAATACCGCGCCTTTGGGAAGCTGAGGTGAGTGGATTTCCTGACCCCGTGGGTTCGAGACCCACCTGGGCAGCGAGACCTCATCTCTACAATAAATAAAAAATCAGCCGAGCGTGGTAGCGCGCACCTGTAATTCCGGCTACTCAGAGCTGAGGTGGAAGGATCGCCGGAGCCCAGCAGGTCGAGGCTGCGGTGGCTGGGAGCGGC